TTTTCTGAGTTAATTCGTAACTGTTCATGAGCCCACAGCATCCTCGTCTTCTCATTGGTATTTTTGACATTACCTGCGCTGGTTTCTCCTGAAGAAACTGAACTTCTCCATCTTGAAGAAATGTAAGGAATCGAGGGATGATATGTTCCAGGAATGTAGAATACTGAGGAGATGACGTGACATTCTAATTGTGCCAAAATAAAGGAAAACGCCATTCAGTTATGTGTACAAATATTCATTTCAAACTCACACGTTATAGTAACTGCAAAGGAATAGAAAACATTTTAGCCAAAAGCAAATTTTTTGTACTTGTATTATTTATTAGTTACAATTTTAAATTGATTGCATTTCTGCAATCCAATTCAGGAGAATGAAATGCTAACTTTTACTATTAAAATTAGAAATACCAATGCTTTGGAAAATGTTGAACCTGGAACCCATTACAGCTTGGCTCTGCCACGATCTAAGTATGAAACCTCTACGAAGTTATTTAACTTCTAGGTCTGAGTTGTCTGATCTAGAAAATGAAGAGCCTAAGCAAACTAATGTATTAATTAGATGTAAATTATGTGCTAATTCGATGTATATTAATTACATTATAATCTAGTCTAATCTATTGTTGATCCTAGCAGTGATTTTAAAAGAAAAACGGGCCAGGCGAGGTGGCTCACGCCTATAATCCCAGCACTTTGGGAGGCCAAAGCAGGTGGATCACGAGGTCAAGAGATTGAGACCATCCTGGTCAACATGGTGAAACCCTGTCTCTACTAAAAATACAAAAATTAGCTGGGCATGGTGGCGTGCACCTGTAGTCCCAGCTACTTGGGAGGCTGAGGCAGAAGAATTGCTTGAAACCAGGAGGCGGAGGTTGTAGTGAGCCAAGATTGCGCCATTGCACTCCAGCCTGGGTAACAAGAGTGAAACTCTGTCTCAAAAAAAAAAAAAAAAAGAAAAACAGAAAGGGCTGGGCATTGTAGCTCAGGCCTGTAATCCCACCACTCTGGGAGGCCAAGGCAGGAATATCGCTTGAGCCCAATAGTTCAAGAACAGCCTGGGCAACATAGCAAGACCCCATCTCTACAAGAAATTTTAAAAACAAAAGCTGGGCATGGTAGCATATGCCTGTGCTGTGGTCTTAGCTACTCAGAAGGCTGAGGTAAAAGGATCACTTGAGGTAACCTGCTAACCGCAAATACTAAAAAGGACAATAAAGTCTCAGAACCTCAAAAGGGTCAGATATTTAATCCAGATAGCTGCATGTCCACCCTCGGAGCCCTGACCCACACGCTTCTTCCTGCAGGTTCACAGACTGCCCATGTTTTCAGCCTCTCCAACAAACCTGCCAGGACTATGTTGCCTCAGATCAGTTCTTCCAATAAAAGCAGAATGCAGGCTTATCCTCTTCTGCCCCTCACCTCTTTATATATATATCTGTAAACAGCTTGTTTAGCAGCTTGGGTAGAAGAGAAAGTTCTTCAGCTAGATTTCTAAATATCTCAAGATTTTTTTTCTAGCTCAGCTCAAGACAACAAGTCCTTAAAACTGTCTATTAAGAAAAACTAAAATACTATCCATTGCTACAGATGGTAGGGTATTTATTCAATCCCACTAGCACACATTTAATGTTTATTAATTCAAAAGGGCTGCTGGAGGGCATCTCAGCTGTGCAGCAGCACCAGTGTTGGCTAAGTGCCTGCTGTTTAGCCAGCTAGGGAAGGAGATGTCCAAAACGGCTGAGACGTCTCCTTCCTCGGGGAGTGAGGAGAAAACTCTGCTCTTCCAAGCTCTTGTGGTAGGCCTGACGGCTGTCAGGAAAACCCGCAGACATCCAGGGCTTAACTGTCTCTATGCGATGCTGTGCTTCAGTGGTCATGCCCATGTCCACTTTCACAGTCCACTTCTGCACCTGGTTTCTCTTTTTCTTAGAAGAATTAATAATAGTAACATATCTTAATGTCCTTGATATTTCTGACAAATATGCGAAGAGTGCTGACGTATTAGGTTTTCTCCTCGTCTCAGCTACTTGAAAGACCTGGGCCCCTATCTCCAAGACATGTGATTTACTTGATCCTATCATTGACCACCAATGCCCAGCCCCACCCACCCTGCCCCTGCTTTGTACTCAGTAAAAGTCAGAGCGTTCAGGTACTCGCAGCCACTGCCAGACTCTGCGTTTGGTTGGCAGTGGACCCCTGGGCCCAAACTCTCTTTTTTCTTTCTGTCTTGCGTTTTTTATTTCCATATTTCTCATCTCCACACCAGCAGGGAGGGGCTCACAGGACCCTGATTAGGGGCAGTACTGGAACATGACTCCCAGGAGAAGGGAAATTCACACACTGAGCCCCATGACCACCATGGCTCTCTGCCTAGGTACAATTTTCTGAACTGGGGTTCAGCAAGGTGGGTGCAAGCGGGGGTCAGGGCCTGCTGAGCTGAGGAATAAAATCCTCAGAGTTCAGGGCAGCTAAAGTGGCTGGAATCTGCAGGGCACAGCACCAGAGAAAAGCAAACCACAGAGTAGGGGAATGGGGAGAGTCTCTAGTGAGGCCAGCTGAGGGCTGGACTGCACATACACAGGGTGCCACTGCCTGAAGCTCACCAGTGTGCCTGCTTTAAGACTGAGAGATGGGGCCAGGAGTGGTGCCTCACATTTGTAATCCTAGCACTTTGGGAGGCCAAGGTGGGCAGATCGCTTGAGGTCGGGAGTTTGTGACCCGCCTGGGCAACATGGCAAAACCCCATCTCAACTAAAAATACAAAAATTAGTGGGGCATGGTGGAGCACACCTGTAGTCCCTGGTACTCCAGAGGCTGAGTGAAAGGATTACCTAAGCCCAGGAAGTTGAGACTGCAGTGAGCTGTGACCACACCACTGCACTCCAGCCTAGGTGACAGAGGGAGACTATCTAAAAAAAAAAAGACTGCGAGATTAATGAAGATACTATACATCTAGCAATATCAGAGGATGCTGATGCTGGATTTCAAGCCTAGCCAGAGTGGAAAGACCTACTTAACATCTTGACAACATTCCAGACCTCAAGACCTCACACATACAGCTAGACCATGTCCTAGAGTAAGGCCTATTCTAGACCAGCCCCAACAAAGCCTAAAATCAACCTCTGATATGATCCATAGGCAGAATTTGAAGGCTGAATCCTACCAAGTTAGAGACCAGGAAACACCTTGGGCTATCCACAGATTCTCCCCACCAAAGCATAAAACAAAGCCTACACAAGTTCAGTATCAGCTGGTAACTGAACTGCTGACAACAATAAAATGTTGATGTTCTTCAGAGGGAGATAATAGGATCTAGAGTCCCCACAATATCACACAGAGAACGTCCGCTGTACAGCAAAAAAAATTTCTAGATTGTTGGGCGCAGTGGCTCACACCTGTAATCCTAGTACTTTGAGAGGCTGAGGAAGGAGGATCACTTGAGTCCAGGAGTTTGAGACCAGCCTGGGCAACATGGTGAAACCTCGTCTCTACAAAATACACAAAAGTTAGCCAAGCATGGTAGTACATGCCTGTAGTCCTGTAGTCCCAGCTACTCAGGAGGCTGAGGTGGGAGGATCACCCAAGCTCAGGAGGTTGAGGTTGTAGTGAGCCAAAATCGCACCACTGCACTCCAGCCTGAGTGACAGTGAGACCCTGTTTCAAAATATATAAATATATAAATTACTAAACAAGGAAACAGAATTAACGTGTCCCACAGCCCATAGAATTTGACCTTCAGAGAGCCCAAATGTTGGCTTTAATACATGAAGACTTGAAAGGAGCCCCTATACAGTAAATATGTTCAAAAAATAAAAGAATATGGTCTTAATAAATGAAGATGAGGAATCTGCAGAGAAGTAAAATCTATAAAGAACCAAACAGAAATTCTAGAACTGAAAGCACAATAACTAAAATTTTTAAAAATACAAAAAATAAACTGAAATTCTAAGAAAAACCCAGCAGGGTGGTTTCTTATTAGCCAGGCTTGGTGGAGAGCACCTGTAATCTCAGCTACTTGGGAGACTGATAACAAAAAAATTATCAGAAGATCAGCAGAAATTATCCAGTCTAAAGGACAAACAGAAAAAAGACAGAGGGACATGGAGGACAATATAAATTGTAGGATGTGAGGTCCACAAGAGAGAAAGTTCTTTCTTGATCAAGGTCACAGATGTTCTGATTAGCAGAACCAGAAATGACATCCAGATCTCAATACGTAAGAATAGACCATTAATTACCTGAACGTAACAAATTAACGGCCGGGCACAGTGGCTCACACCTGTAATCCCAGCACTTTGGGAAACCAAGGTAGGCGGATCATAACATCAAGAGATCGAGACCATCCTGGCCAACATGGTAAAACCCCGTCTTATTAAAAATATAAAAATTAGCTGGGTGTGGTGGCAGTCACCTGAAATTCCAGCTAGTCAGGAGGCTGAGTCAGGAGAATCCCTTGAACTCAGGATGCGGAGGCTGCAGTGAGCTGAGATCGTGCCACTGCACTCCAGCCAGGCAATAAGAGCGAGACTCTGTCTCAGGGGAAAAAAAGAAAATAAATTAATAAATAAATAAAAGAATAAATCTGAGGGCATCCCAAGAGGCATGGTAGCCTAGAAGAGCTACCATATTTAAAATGAAAAATGTTAAAACTGACATTCCTCAACATGGTGTGGGGCTCACTATCAGCCGCACGAAGATGGGCAATGCTGTGTAAAAAGTTTCAAATGTCAGTTTCAAAATGTAACTTATGTGAACAAAGACAATGATCTTTGAGCTGCTAGTAAAAAGACTGACAAAGGAGGAACAGAAAAGTGCATAACAATATTTACCTCCAAATGAAAAACACAAAATATAATGCTCATACCTCAAAATTTTCACTAACTTCTTGCATCATTTTCAACTTCGTTTCATCAGCTGTGAACAGCAAAACAAGCCATCAGGTAATTGAAATTATGTTAAGGAGTCACGTTAATCCAAAGCTGTATCGAATTTAGTAATTGAAGAGAAGCAATCAGATCTTATCAGTTTAACTGTCATGGCCTAATAGAAGGCACATAGCTAGTTCCCCACCACCAGTCGCACACATTTGTACTCCCAGACATACACGTGCATGCACTGACAAGCATAAAGATACACACACACAAACACACACACACACACACACACACACACACACACACACATGTGCCTCTTTGGGGCTCCAGCCAGTATTACTCATCACTTTGCTTCTCTATTAGGTAGAGAAAAGGAACACGAGAATAACATTAATGTTACTATTAATTTCAAAGTGCACATCATTTGAGCTGAGACACATTTCTTTTTACGCATTTTTTTTTTGAGAGGAAGTCTTGCTCTGTCACCCAGGCTGGAGTGCAATGGCGCAATCTCGGCTCACTACAACCTCTGCCTCCCAGATTTAAGCAATTCTCCTGCCTCTGCCTCCCGAGTAGCTGGGATTACAGGTGCCTGCCACCGCACCCAGCTAACTTTTTTGTATTTTTAGTAGAGACGGGGGATTCACCATGTTGGCCAGGCTGGTCTCAAACTCCTGACCTCAAGTGATTCACCCACCTCAGCCTCCCAAAGTGCTGGATCACAGGCATGAGCCACCGGGCCCAGCCTTATTTATGCCTTTCTTAATGACAAAAAGGATCAACTCACGTGTATTCACATCTGTGAGAGCCGCCACAAACTGAAGGTACTTTTTCATCAGAGTGGTTTGGTCAACCACTGTGGCCCCCTGTGTTGCAACAAAGGCCATTTTTCTTTTGGGCTGGTTTGCTTCTCAAGAGAAAAGTATCAGGTCCATGAGTTCACCCAGCCTACAAAAAGAAGCATAGAGTTAGTCAACTCACAGAAGGCACAGGATCACAATCTCTGCAAAAATGCTTTCACCTTAAACCAGAACCTAACGCTATTCATTCTGGTTTTTTGAATATGATGTTTACCTAACTCCATTTTGTCTATTAACTTTGAAACATGATTTTTCTATGCAGATACGTTTCTTTCCTATGGTATTTCCACATTCCCTGAGTCAGGGGTTGGCAAACATTTTCTGTTAAAAGCCACATAGTAGATATTTAGGTCTTTGTGGCCACGCAGTCTGTAACAACTACTCAGCTCTGCTATAATCAGAAAGCAGTCACAGACAACATGTAATGAATGAGGCTGTGTTCCAATAAAACTTTATTTATGGATGCTGAAATCTGAATTTCATATAACTTTCATTCATCATGAATTTTCCCCAGCCATTTTAAAATACAAAACCATTCTTGGTTCATGGGTGGTATAAAACTGGCAGTAGGCCGGGCATGGTGACTTAACACCTGTAATCCCAGCACTCTGGGAGGCCAAGGCAGACACAAGGTCAGGAGTTCCATATCAGCCTGGCCAACATGGTGAAACCCCGACTCTATTAAAAATACAAAAATTAGCCAGGCGTGGCGGCGGGGACCTTTAATCCAGCTACTTGGGAGGCTGAGGTAGGAGAATTGCTTGAACACGGGAGGCAGAGACTGCAGTGAACTGAGATCGTGTCACTGCACTCTAGCCTAGGCAACAGAGCAAGACTCAGTCCCCAAAAAAACAAACAAACAAAAACAGGCAGCCGGGTGGATCAGGGCAACCGTGGCCATAGGTGATTGATTCCCAAACTTCAGCAAGCATCAAAATCCCCAGATGCCAAAGGTGGGCTCCCAAGCAGCACCCCTCCAGACCGTGGTTACCTGAGGGGCACAGGCAACTATAGATTCTGTTTGTAGCTGGCAGGCAGTAGGCACTCAATGGCTGCTCACAGCTAACACACAGATGGAAACTTGGGTTCTCTTTTAACAGGTGTTACAAAGTATCCTGAGAAGCTGGTGAATACTTTGCTTTTACCCCTCCCTTCCTGCATAATCCCACTCTGCACTGAGAGGTGGTTTCAGGGTTTTATTTTCTTTCAAGACACACGCCTCCTCTGCAGGCCTGCTGGATACTGCCTTGCAGCTGACACAGGTGACACTAGAGAGCTCCTTCCGAACACTCTTCCTATACACCAAAAACGCTTCTTCCATGCAGAGAGAAGGCCCACAGGTGTCCCACAAGCCCACCAGAAGCCCCAGCCCTCTGGTTCCGGGTAGGAAATGCCACAAAGGAAACCAGGCGGGGGAATCTTTCATGTCCTTATAGGGGACCTGGCAACTGCCTGTTTCAGATGACACCCCCTTCCCCATCTCCATCGGCCCAAGACTCGGGGGTCATGGCCTCTCCCTTCCCATCCCGATCCCTGGGGGGACCCAAGACTCGAGGTTACCGCCTCTCCCTGCCCATCCCCATCCGAGGGGACCGAAGACTCGGTGTCACGGCCTCTCCCTACCCATCCCCATTCGAGGGAACCCAAGACACAGTGGTCACGGCCTGTCTGTGCCTAAGAACCTCCCTAGTTCCGTCCAAACTTCCCCCTTCCCACAGAAGTCGTCAACTCTTCATTTTCGAGGGTCCCACAGAGCCTAGGGGCCCTGGCTAGGGAGAAACGCCCCCATTCCGCGTGTCTGCGAGAAAGCGGCTTCGCCACCCCGGGTGCCGGTTGCCGGGTGCCGAGGGCCCAGGCCGGGCCGGCGACGCGCAGCTCCCTCTCCCGGGGACGAACGGCCCCGCCGCCCCTCCCAATCCCCCGCCCCGACCCCGCCAAACCCGGCCTGAGGCGGCGCCGCCGGGCCAGAGGGGGCGCTGTGGTCACCGCAACCTTCGCTCCCCGAGCCGGGCCTAACCAGTCCGGTGCCTGCGTGGAGGCCCGGAGGTGCCAGGTTGGCCGGGGGGCGCCTCCCGAGAAAAGGGACCCCCCCCGCAACGTCCCCACCCGACCTCTCAGCTCACAAACGGCCTCTGGTTCCTTCCTTTTGTCGCAGTCCCGGGCTCAACGCGACCGCGTCCCAAACCGAGCTACGGCGAGCGCCGAGCGCCAATTCCCGCACCCGCGAGTGCTGCGCCTCCTACGGCTTCCTCTCAGCTCGGCCGCGAACGCCGTAGTCCCTGCAGCCCCCGGTGGGACCCTGGCGGAGGCCTAAGGACCCCGGGGCGCTCGGAGCCCCCCACTCCCTCCCTCCGCCGAGCAGCCGCACTGCAGAGGCCTCCCCATGCCCGGGGGCCGAGCGCACCTCCCGGGGCCGTTCAGACACCCGCCCCCCAACTTACCCCGACCTTGGCGACCCGGCTGCAGCAGGCCCGGCCCGCGACCCCTGCAACCCCCAGCCGAACCCTCGCCGCCGCCGCTCCGCCGCGCGCAGTCCCGCCCCCGCTTAAAGCGCCCGCGCCCGCCGAACCGTGCACCAGGCCCGGCGTACCGCCCCCAAGTGGGTGCGGCCTGGGCGGGCGCGGGCGCGGGGAGGGGCGTCCACCATCTCGGTGGGCCCCGGCCCTTTAACCCCCCCCGCCAGCCGTGATCGGGCCAGGCCAGCGCCCAGGTTCTAGGGGCTTCATCGGCCCCTAAGTCTACTCCCAGAAGTCAGGCCGCGGGGGAGTGCTCGGGGATCCTGGGGGCCGTGGGCAAGTTGGGAGGGCTTTCCCGAGTTGGCAGCGATGGGGCCCAGGTATCGTCTACCACTGGACTGAAGGTGGCAAGCAGGGCAGAGTTTGCCACCCCTACTCCCCGCTCCCCTCCTGGGGTCCTTCTCATCCCGCAGCAGGGAGAGAAGGCCAGGAGGGTCTTTGGGAAGGTAAGGCTGGTGACGGACTGAGACCCTATTAGCAAAATAAAGTCCGGGTGTGCTTCCTGGAGTTGGCTGCCCAGGTGCAGAAGGGTCTCATTGGTTCTCCAGCTGCTTTTCCGCCGAGGCTGGATCCACCTGTCGGGCAGATCTACCTCCATCAAAACTTGATGGAGATTTTTTTTTTTTTAAATAAGTTTCAGGCCAGGCCCCAGTAATGAAGGGATAGAGGGGGGATGGAGCCAAGGGAGGTGGCACGGGCCAGACCAAAAGGCGTCTCGAAGGGAAACGTACCGTCAGGAACTATGGTTGCTACAGGGACACAGGACATGTTACAGGGACAGAGCATGGAAACATGACCTGAACTTGGCCACCTCCAGGCCCTGGTTCCACCTTCCTGCGCCTACCCCCCCACATCACTAACCCACCAAGATCATTATGTTCCCTTCTCAGACATACATTTCCTACCCTGCGATAATAACTGTTGCAGTGCCCATGGATACTCTGGAGGAGAGGTGCTCTTTTCTGAAGCTCCTTGCTTGTTTAACGTTGCCACTCAAGAGCAAGGCCACAGCTGAAATGTTGGGATTGTAAGTGGATGTTTTTAGCAGCAATTAATTCTGCCCCAGGAGAAACAAAATGCTTCAGAATAGCCCTTCCATCACGGAAGAGGTTGCCTATTTGTGAGCAAAATCTGCTGTGGTCCTACCACCACTACCCCAAGAAAGTGGGAGGCCTAGCTGGGTGTGGTGGCTCACGGCTGTAATCCCAGCACTTTGGGAGACCAAGGCAGGTGGATCACAATGTTAGGAGTTTGAGAGCAGCCTGGCCAACATGGTGAAATTCCATCTCTACTAAAAATGCAAAATTAGCCAGGCGTGGTGGTGGGCACCTGTAATCCCAGGTACTTGGGAGGCTAAGATAGGAGAATAGCTTGAACCCAGGAGGTGGAGGTTGCAGTGAGCCAAGATGGTGCCACTGCACTCCAGCCTGGGCAACAGAGCGAGACTGTCTCAAAAAAAAAAAAAAAAGGGATATCCCTGAACTCATTTTGCTCCCTCCAAGCTACTCCAGATTTAGCCCCAAATGCATCTCCCAGGAGCTGATTCTGAGTCGTTGTTACCCTGCCCAGCAGCCCCCTCAGCCCATAGTCAATTTCCAACGCAGGACAATGAGGATGTGTGGTAGGAATACGGACCCTAGGGCTGCTGCCCTTGAATGACCAAAGAAGATTCTATTATACCACCTTGCTAGGGCCAACAGACCAACTAACACTAACTTGCTTTAGAAAGACTTTCACCAACAAGAACTGACTCCAAAGGAGTGTGAGCTTTCCATTACCCAGAAAAATGTAATTAACCAAAACAGGTCCCACCACCAGAGCCAGGCGAATGAGATTTGACTGTTCACAACGTCTGATCTGTCCCCGGGCCCCAGACCCTTACCTGTGGCTGCTGTTCTGGACGTTTGGCCCGAGGCATCCTTTGTTAAGGCTGCCCTCAGTGTCTATTGTGACCGACGCTCACCGCGCCAGGGGAGAGAATG